GTATAGCTGTATAAGATTCAATAGCATGACAAAGTACATCAAAACCTGAATTAGCTGCTACACGTGATGGCATTGTTTTAACAAAATCAGGATCAACTAAACCAAGTGTTGGTTTCATTGAACGATGAGCAATACCAGTTTTAGCATGTAATTCTTCAAAATCAAATATAGCTACACCTGTTGTTTCACTACCAGTACCAGCTGTTGTTGGTACAGCAATACATGGTTTAAGTGTATGTCGTACAGGTAAACCTTTACCAATTGGTGGATTAACATAATCAAGAAAATTTGTTGAATCTTTATTAGGTAATGATGCAAATAGATTAGCTACTTTACATGTATCCATAACTGAACCACCACCAACAGCTACATAACCATCATATTGTCCTTGACATGCAAAATTTATAGCATTTTTAAAACTTTTATCAGTTGGTTCAATACGTATTTTATCAAATATATTATATTTGATATTTTTTGTTTCTAATGAACGAAGAACATTTTCAAATGATTTTAATTGTCTTATACGTTCATCAGTAAATAGAGCAATATTTGAACAATTTAAATTTCGAATATCACATCCTAATTCAGCAATAACACCTGGACCAAATCGTATTGTTGAACATGCCATTTCAAAAGCATAATCACTTTTAAGTCCACTTCCATGACTTGGACAACATTGATTTGTATGTTGGATTGCACGGAGTAATGATAAAACACGTGGTCGTGATACTACTGACAACATGGTTTTTTTTTCTGTTGCCCTTACTATTTCGTTTCTACCCTTTCTGTCGTCTATGCTGCTCTTTTATACTATAGTAATATAGACTCTCGCAAGAAGCGCATATGAGAGAAAAAGAAAAGAAAGAGAACACGAAGGGAAAAAACAGTATATTCTTTTATTGTTTCTTACTTGAAGAAATTTCAGTCGAGCAATAAAATCCAGAACATATGAACCAAGTGGTTTCAATCTAAAGTCAAAAAAAAAATAATGTATAAATAAAAAAATGATTTCCTAATCAATCAATATATATATATATCATTAATTGCGAACTTTAAACTCAACATCTCTCTGCTGTGTTTTCTCTCTTTTGAATTTCAAAGAAAATATATATGTATAAAAAAAATTCTAACATTCATTTCAAGTAATATTTACAAAAAAAAACAAATAAAAAGAACAAAGAGAAAACTTACGATGGATAAGATTTCTTTTTCCAAGTTCCAGGAATTTTCGATTTAAGTACTGACATAAATACTTCTTCTAAATCAGCCGACATAACAACAAGACCTTTAATTGCTTTTTGTACATCAATTAATGATTGACGAACAGTTGATAAAAGTCGATTGAATCGACCCATTTCTTGTACAAGTACAGTATTCATACCTAACAATAAGAAAAAACATAAATACTTTGAACTTTTCAGTCAGATCGATTAGTCTGAGGCAAAAAAGAAGTTTCTATCAGGGATGGGAGATAAGCCTTAAAAAAACAAAAAATAAAACATTATACTTTGTTTATATTCAGTTGGATATTTTCGCATAGCCATTTCAATATTATAATTTGCTGGTAATTTTGCAAGAATTTCAGCAGCTACTTCACTAACAAGATCATCCGGTGTCTTACCAACACTGCCTGATGATCCTTTTGCCTAAAAAAAACCAAAAAATAAATGAATAAAAACATATATAAAAAAAGAAATAATTTAATCTATAAAGCATTTTATAACTACAATATTAATTAAGAAGTAGAATAATTTTTATTCCTCTTCTCAAAGAGCAATGATATATATATATATATACACATATAGATATATAATATAATATTTAAAAAGCAGATAACATCTATATTCCTATAATTAATCTTATAAATTAATTAAGAAGAAGCACATTGATAGCATAGATTCTATTAAATAAACTTACATTTGCTTTAGTCTAAAATTAATGGATGAATAAATGTGAAATATTAATGTTTTTATTTTTCATATATGTGCATTTAAATTTCTTTTTTCTCATTTTACATCAATGATATATAATCATTACCTGTGTTAGAAGAATATTTTCAAATAATTGATTTGTTTCATTTTGATCTTTTGTTATATCAGCATTAGCATGAAAACCAAATATATTCGGATCAGCATTTAATGGTAAATTTTTAATATAAGTCATATATGATTCATACTAAATTAAATAAAATAGAAATTTTGTTTTTTTTTTGATTTTATAATCAATACTTACATCACCATCTAATGGTGCATAATAAAGGCCACTTTCATCAAAACGAAAATCATCTGATTCGATTACAATTGGACAATAAAATTTTTCAAGTAAAGTTTTTAATGTTCGACGATCCCAATCATCCGTGACTATACGAAATAAATACAAAAAAAACAAAAATTTGTTTTTTTGTTTTCTATACGAAAATTAATGTACCTCGACCACCATAGTTCTACAAAAAAAAAAAAACTTTATAATAAATACCAAAATGAATATATTTATTTAACTTACACATTCTCCTGT